GACGATATACGATGAGGCTGAGGAGGCCGATGCCGACGAAAATGACGATGACGATGTCGATCTGAATACCAATCATTACTTATTTAACCAAAAAAAAAAACTTTAGCAGCGCATGAATTCTCAATAAAACGGTGAAAAAAAAACACATCAAAGAAATCTCAAAACCACTAAAAGTGCTGTGTAGAAATTTTAGAGATACAAACAATGAATATCTCTGTCTAATGAATCTCTAGCTAGGACATTGGAAGAGGACAGGGGGACTGAAATCATCCACGTGTTAACATATGCAGTTTGTATGGCATTGTTGGCCCATCGTGGAGAGGGAACACAATCGAATTTTGATAATTAGTGGAAAACTGGAGGTTTTCGATCAGCCCTTCTCCTGTGAAAACCGTTCAGCTCTGGATTCTTTCAGAGATAAAACGAACGCCAAGATCGCCAGCAGGTGACCACCAGGCAATGCAGCAATGGTCAAATCAAGTGGAAAAATCACCAGTAGCATAGCTGGACAATCAGACTATGAATTACAGCTGTTACCTCTATCCCAAGCAAAAATATTAGAGGCTGTTTTTAACGCTTAACCTAATCCTAAAGGAGGAGGGGGGGGGGACATGCAGGACTTAAATTAATTAAAAATATCGCGTTGTGTACATTGGAGGCGTTTTTGCCGGGGAATTGCAGGTTTTCTAAACTCATGAAAATTCTAGGAGGGGCCAAATGCATCATTTTTCTTCGTAAAGAATGGTACTTTATGTTTGAATGATAAGTAACAGCCATCAGAAGGCCGAATCATAAGTGGAAGGTCCAAGTGGAGCGACAGGAGTGGATTAAATTGATAAATAATTTGCGGCCCTTGGTTGGCCAAATCGCATTTTCCAAAGTAATTGGTCAGTCCGGACCGTGGGGAATATGGAACGGCCGTAATCCATAAATTTCGTAGAACTATATAAGCCCTCAAATTATATGAGAACATTTTTTTTTCAATCAAACCACAATCAAATCCTTTGCTATTCCCAGAACATAATGAGGTAGCTACCTTATACTTTCTTCCGTCTAAGCTTATTCACTAACCTCAAGCTTTTTTGATTATCTGGACGCGATACTTCACGTGCACGGACATCTGCGCTACAAAAAACAAAACGTAGGACGTTCACATAACAAAAATTTCTGTACACAAGTGACAGAGAATTTTTAAAGATACAAACAATGAATATCTCTGGCTAGGAGACTGGAAGAGGACGGGAGCCTGGAATCGTTTATGCACTAAAATATGCAATATGTTTGGCGTTGCTGGCCCACCGCGTGGAGGAATACAATCGAATTTTGATAATTAATGAAAAGACTGGAAATAGTGCCATTTAGATCTCCTATACCGGAAGTCTGTATGTCCTGTAACTTAGTAGCCTGTCAATGTTTCATCCCTGAGCTGTAAACACAGATGTCAGAATCGGTGTGAAATGGGGATGGGAATCATCAGTACAGTGTCCCATTTCGCCATGCATTTCGCCAGTAACGTATTGATTACCTGAGGAAGATGAAGAAAGAAAGGAAGGAAATGAGTATAAAAAAGAGACTGTAGAAGGCAGGAGGTTAGAGGTTTATAAGCAAAAAATATTGTACCTTCGTACAACAGAGCTCGACGAACGTGATCGCAGTGTTGTTGAGGTTGCTGACGAGGGTGCAGCACTGCTACTGCCATATCCAAATGTGGTTGTTACGTAGGACTGGGGAGAATAACCAACACGAGTTGTCGGATAATAGGATGTACGCTGGTACTTGGAAGCATGTGAGGTACTCGACGACTGTCCTTTTGGTGGTAGACCAGCTCGATCGCTGGTTGCTGATGCCAATGTACTGCTGACGCCGCTATAGCGATACGAAACACTTGGTCGCCTGAAAATGCTCCTAAATAGGAGCTCTTTTTTTGTTATTTTCATTATTATCACATATTTTTCAGAATTCATCATATTCAGTTTTTTTTTTATTTGTATTTCCATTATTTTCAGATATTTTTCAGATATTACCCCAATATATATTTATATTCACTTTTATCAACAGCGCACAGCACTATCACGACCTTAAAATTTAATAAGTTAGACTAGTGTGCGTGCCCTATGTGTATATGTTGTGTATGTGCGTGTGTGTATGTGTGTGTGTGTGTGTGTGTGTGTGTG